CTCACTGTTTGCTGCGTAATCCAGTCGGGTTGATCCCAATCAGGAAGATGATCGGTGATAGTAGGCGGCAGTCTTATCTTACTTCCGTCTTCATTTCATGAGCATCACTGAGCTTTCGATTGTGGATCACTTGACATGTGGCGTCTTCAGATAATTGTTGAGTGGGGTTAATAAAGGTTTGTGGCACCAAAACCGGAGTGTTGAAACAGTTGCCTGCCAGATTACTTCTCGATCGACACTGTCGAAGGCCTATTCAAAGTCGATGAAGTTTAGGTTGAGTTGACTGGCATTCTATGCTCTGTTCTATGGTGGTGTGTAGCGTGGCGTTCCAATTCGATTCGCACATGATTTGTTCTTCTTGATCTCAGCGTGTCCGGGTTGTAATTTTGAATCCGGCTTATTTTTTAGTCTCTTCATGATGATGTGGCATAATATTTTGCTTGGGGTGTACAGCAGTATGATTCCTCACCAGTTCTTGCAAAGCACGATGAATGGAGTCGAGTTAATTTCTACGACAAGCTGAAAATGTATTTTGTATCATAGCATTTCCCTACAGATAATTGCTTGCAGAGGTTGTATAGATTACTGAAAGAACAAACAACTAATTAGCAGTTATCAAATACAATTTTCATTACAACCCAGGTAAAATTTATATATGTATGGTTTCATCTTAAAACCTCATTGGTTTTCACGTTTGTACTATTGGAGAATGACACCCTTCGTCATATGTAACCTGTAAGTAGTGAAGGAGATTCATTTTTAAAATGAAAAGTAGATGTCAAGAAAAAATTAAAAAAGTGCATAGGATCTTAAGCAGGGTGAAGGTGGGAAAAAGCCTTCAAGAGATTTGTATAAAGTTTATATAGTCAAACTTTTTTCAGAAGAATCGAAATTTCCGATTCCTTTTTTAACTAGCTATGAACGTGACAATTGCTGAAAGCTGTATAGCTAAAGTGAATTAATTCACTTTGAAAGTTTATGGGGGAATTGTCGATTGATTTGAAATTGACATTCATCATGGAATGACATCAGTTGGAGAATCACTGGAGATGTAGTAGCACGGAATAGCTGTTCCACTCTAGTATGTGACCCTCAGAAGTACGTACTTGCGACTATGTCCCGCAGTGGATGGGACCTAAAGTCTTCGCGTCTCTTGGGGAGAACACTACTATCCAGCCACTAAGTAGGAATCCACTGGTGCACTTTTTCTTACTTCTGTCAATTTGTGATGCAGCTCGAACACCATCCAGTCCCACCATGAAATGAGTGTCCTCACTTCCGACTTCGTTTTCCGAACCCGGTCACATCTTCTCATCAAAACTTAAACAAATCTCATCTGAAAATATTCGACCCATGAGGAGTGGATAGTGGTTCTGGTTTGTGAGGATTTTTATTCTTTTCGATGAATTTTCGACGACTTTTCAGTGGCCATTATTGACATACTTAGCTGAAATATCGGTCGAAATTTTCATGAGTTTTTCAATTTATCACCAATATCAACATGATTATTTGTTGAATTTCTATGGAAATTAAGTATCGTTCAAATTTAGTAATGCAGTAAATAATACCACTATGAACTTTAACTCACGCTGTGAGTTTGAAAATCAACTGCGTATTGTTTTTAAATCTGATGCAAACTTGAACTGGAAAATATCTTTCAGATCATTCATGTTGTAGGTGACAAAGTAAACGACTTAAGCATCACTAAAAGAGGACAACATTTTCGTTGTAAATCGGTAACATTTAAAAAATAAACGTTGATAGATTATAAATGATTTAAGTGCCAAAATAAAAAGGTTAAAAAATGATATTTTAAAAATGGTTTACACTTATCAACTTATCAAAGTGTTGCTTGTTATCTCTGCATAATCTAATCTCAGTAAGTTTAAAAATTCTAGTGATCCTAAGCAAGCTGAATTCTTAGACAATAAAACGAAGGTGTCAAAGAATGTAAGTGATAGCGAATTCTATCTAATGTATTGATGAAGTAGAAATAAACAGCTTGAAGCTAAGGAAACTTTAACAAAGAAAGCTTTTACTTATTGGTGTATTGTGGGTGGTATTCATTGGGAAAGTTTATAGCATAGATGAAGAAAAATGTCAATCAAAAATCAACGATGAAGTTTGAAGTTGTTATTCATCGAAGAATGACATCAGTTGGAGGAACAAAGGAAACCTGGGAGCACTGGACAGCTGTTTCGTCCTAGTACGGGACTCCTCAGCAGTGCGCACCCACGACCCCAGCAGGGATCGAACCCGCGACCTTCAGGTTCCGCGACCAGCGCGTCACCATTGAGCCACTGGGTCAGAATCCAATGCTGCATATTTCCAACTTCTGTTAGCTCACGATATAGCGCAAACTGCCACCCAATGTCATCGTTGAGTATTTGTCCTCACGGCCATCAGGCTTTGACTCCACCGGTCCACCCGCTGGTCGCGGAACCTGAAGGTCGCGGGTTCGATCCCTGCTGGTGGGGTCGTGGGTGCGCACTGCTGAGGAGTCCCATACTAGGACGAAACAGCTGTCCAGTGCTCCCAGGTTTCCTTTGTTCCTCCAACTGATGTCAGTCTTCGATGAATAACAACTTGAAATATTTCCAAATCTCCACAACCCCCTCAAAATTTAGATGAAGTTTAAATAAAAATGTATGAATTACCATGCTTTTGTAGGTTACCTGTAAAGTTCTATGCGAGAAACTGAGTACTTAATATATAGCTAAGAAATGAATCTACCCAATCAGCTATTCCAACAACGGAAATTTCATATACTAAACAGATTTAGAAAATTAAATGCGTGCTATCAAGAATGCTAATTACTGTCGTTTAATAAGTGTTCGCTTTTTGAAATTCACAAGTGTATATGATGAGAATGACTGTCTGCAACATACCAGAAAATAAGAGTAACCTTTCGAATGCAGAGAAATGTTGTATATTTTATGATCATGTTCAATGTTTAGAATGATTCGGCTTCAATGAAGATGTTTATGGATAGTTGTGTGAATTGAAAATCAACTCTAATTCATTGATGTACATCCTTATGTCAGTATACAACCTGTATATTGTGGTACCACAAAACTGCCAATTAAGCAATTTTATTTGATATACCGTATTATTTACTTGATTACGTTTCCAGCATAAATTATTGCTTATAATCATATCAATGTGATATGATTATGAGCAATAATTTATGCTCGAGACGTAATCAAGTAAATATTACTGTATCATTGTGCGCTTTATATCAAATAAACAAATCTAGTATGGAATTACATTCTACCACAGTACCCAAGTTTTTCACTTATATTTATTTGATATAGCTTACAGTGCTACAGTTTATTTAGCCAGTGAATACAGTGTAATTCTCAAAATGTATTCAGATAGTCAAATAAAAAACGTTTTAACTTATTAAGTTGCATAGGTCAAGCGAGATGATCCAGTCAAATAACTTTATCCTTTAAAAGAAAGCTGTAATTTGACTGTGCTTTGATGCTCTCCGAGCTCAGAGAACACCAAACCATCATCATCCTAGTCCTGAACTATAGATCTTTCCTATATATATGCTCTCGTGTTATTCTACAAATCCTCTTCAAGCTGCATCAAAAAAGATTTGTGATTGCAGGTGTCACTTCAAAATATAAGCTTACAAAACACAAAGAATATGAATTTTTACACAAAACACTATTACGCCTGAAGATAACTTTGAGTCTCATCCAGATTTTCCTACTTCTATCACAGCAATACAACGAGGCCTTCATACAATCCCAGTTTGAGTTTTTCTCATCACATTCGAATTGGTTTACTCCGCAAGTCACGACTTTTCATTAGAACTTTAGAAATCTCAAATTGTTTTCCCTTACCTATTTTTCATTGAAATAAAAGTTTAAATGAGGTCACTATTTAGACAGTAGCAATGATCACAGTCGACACAGAAGTTAAGGAAAAAATTTTTTGATTACTGCAATGATTAATTCAGGCCTAAATTTCATTTAGTTCAAATGAACTTCAGATTTACTCAAATATTATCAAAGTACCCATGAACATGATGACCACATACGATCTATCGTGTTGTTATAGAAATTTTATATGTATAAATAGGCTGAGCTATTGAATAGAATGAATAACCATTTTCTCTTTTCAACATCTGACTCACATTTCTATCATTTAGTTCATCATACCTCGCCATCGATATATTCATAACATTTGACCGACTTCATTTAAACGAGTATAGTAGTGGTGACATTTAAAATTCAATAGTTTATATAAAATCTGAAAATCTGTCTAGATTTTTCCTATCCACTATCATAATAGCTAAATTAAAAACAGAATATTCCTAAATGAGGTATCATCAATTGATGAAATACAAGGCAGAAACAAGAGTAGAAGAAACAAGTGAAAACGAAAAAATAGTATGAAATAAGCTGTACACCGTGTGTATAAACATAGAGTTCATGTATTTTAATACTGGGTAACCAGTTATGTATTAATTTCAAGTATAATATTTTCCTGAATTTTTATTGGTTAATCTGTTGATTATAGAAATAGGGAAGATGATAATTACAGTACTTTATTTCGACCAATTATATTGATCAAAATAATCTACATATAAACCACATCGCCATCAAGTAGTTCCCATAAAACAGATAAGTGTTTGGTTTATATCATACATTTTGTGGAATAGATTGTTTCTTGATCTCAAAGGATTTATCAGTTGGTGAAAGCAAACACATTTTACCAATGATTTTTTTTATCTATACGGGAGAAATAGCCTTACATTAAGATGACATCTTTTATGGCCATTAAAGTTAATCATTTTGAAATTCGTGCTTGCTAATTTTCATAAACACATTTTTCAAGTACAAATTGTCGACGTTTTCATTAATCATGAAGTCTAATGTCATATCAGAAGTTTCTTCATTGTAATATATTTCTGTTTGATTGTTAATATACAATGTTTGCAACATATACGTGATAAGCATACAGTTGCTGGTATACCTGGTGATATAATGCTTGGTGGATTATTTCCTGTGCATACATCCGGTGCGACCACATGTGATTCTATAAATCCTGAAAGAGGAGTTCAGAGGGTTGAGGCAATGTTGTTTACATTGGATGAAATCAATAATAATAGTAAATTACTTCCGGGTTTGACTATCGGTGCTACAATACGTGATACATGCTCAGATGCAAATCATGCATTGGAACAAGCATTGAAATTTGTTCAAGCAAGCACTGGCAACAGTGTGACATCATCATCTTCACAACATGGTGGAAAGGCGAATACAGTCAATGAACAAACAGAACAATTGGTAACTCGTGGAGTTGTTGGCGGTTCATATAGTTCAGTGACCATACTAGTAGCAAATTTATTTCGATTGTTCTCTCTACCACAAATTTCATATGCATCAACAAGCGCTATACTGAGTGATAAACGTGCGTTTCCATTATTTGCACGCACTGTACCGTCAGATGTTGTACAAGCACGTGCCATGGCCACTTTGGTTTCAGCACACAACTGGACCTATGTGTCTACAGTACGTAGTGCAGGTGATTATGGAGATTCAGGTATGGATGCTTTTTGGAAGGAAGCTGATAAACTTGGTGTATGCATAGCAGCAAGAGAGGTCATCAGAGGGAATACTGGTCCCGAAGACCTAGATAATATAGTTAATGTACTTAGTAAGGATTTTGCTAAAGCTAGAGTTGTTGTATTGTTTACTGGTATGGACCATACAAAGCTATTGTTAGATGCAGTACGAAGAGCTGGTCTAGTTAATCACTTTGTATGGATAGCTAGTGATGGATGGGGCAGAGAAAATGTACCTGTTTCAAATAATTCAAAAGAAGCAAACGGTGCACTGACTATAGAAATTCAAGCAGAGCCTATTAAAGCATTCACTGACTATTATCTATCTTTAGGAAGAGAAAACCATAGAAATCCATGGTTCAGAGAATACTGGCAAGTTTTAACACAGTGTAGAGAAGATATATCCAGGGACGCATAAGAAGAGCTGCTGATTCTAAACGTTATTTTATGAGCAAAATACTGAAAAATGAAACGAATTCAGGAAATTCAAATGAAATAACAAGTGAAACATCATCCTTCTCCCCAACATGTGATAATAATCCAGATTTAAAATTGAGAGATATCCTCAGACATGATTTTAAACAAGAAGCAAAGATACAATTTGTTTATGATGCAGTTTATGCATTTGCTCAGGATTACACATACTTCAGAAAAAATTATGCCCAGGTGATCCACTACATCCTAAATGGGATAAACGTGGTTGTTTGAAGAAGATGCTCAATTATTCAGGAACTTCATTTTATCAGTTGATGATCAATACCTCATTCACTGGTAAGTTCCAATTTAAATAGTTTACATTCATTACCTAATTCTTACATTAAGTATTCGTTTTCATTAGCGATTGACTGCTGTGAGCAGGAATAGTTCCTACAAAACATGAATGCTTATTTTTTGATGACGGAATATATGATAAAATTGTTGGAAATAGATTGTAAGATGCTTAGAATGGGTGAACGATCATGTCACTATTGCCTATGATATTTTATAGATTTTTTTAAATGGGTTAATTAATATATGATTGCAGGTTGAAACAGGACCGAATACCTGATGTATATTATTTAGAAGTAGTATTCATCATGGACTGACATCAGTTGGGGAACCATTGAAAATCTGGGAGCACTGGATAGCTGTTCCGTCCTAGTGTGGGACTCCTCAGCAGCACGCACCCACGAGTTCGACCCCTAGCCGGGTCGTGGGTGCGTACTGCTGAGGAGTCCCATACCAGGACGAAATAGCTGTCCAGTGCTCCCAGATTTTCAATGGTTCCCCAACTGATGTCAGTCCATGATGAATACTACTTCTAAATTAAAAATCCCTATTCATCTCAAAAATACATTGCTTGATGTATATTATTGTTAACAGCCATACTCTATTTAGCCTAATTTGTCGTATTTGATGAGCAAATTGTTTTAACGCTAAGAATAAAAGCTATACAAGATTTTTCAAGTGAGAAGACGAGAAATTGTCAAGAATATACTTTATTGTTCTTTCAGTTGGCATGAATATTATCAACATCTTAGGTTGTGGGAGATTTTTCAGAAAATTCTTGAAATTTTAAACAGGCTTGAATTCTTACTATTTATTGATACACTTGTAATTTCTCGTTGTTTTATTGGATCGACTTGTTTGACCTCTATTGGCACATGAGCTCCTATGAGGATGCCTCGATACTGCTTGAATGTTAATCATGATAATTTACTTGATTGCGGCTAGCAGAAGAATCTAGGACATGCGTTTCATTCTATTTGGGACTCGTTAGCTGAATGTACCTGCACCCCAGTGAGTGATGTTCTTGCCACTGAGACTCGAACCTCGTACCCATTGCTTCAGGTACATCAATGAATAGTATTAACTTATACCCGTTGTACAAAAAGTGGCTGTCGTACCTCCGTGACATAGGGGATAACGTCTTGGTGTTTGAAGTGATGGGTACGAGGTTCAAGTTCCACTGGGAACAACACTCCGCACTGAGGTGCAGGTGCATCCAGCTGATGAGTCCAAAATAGGATGAAACACGCGTTCTGGATTCTTCTGCTAACCACAACCAAGCAAACTAGGCTGGAATTCATTTCACCATTAGTTCAAATCATCCAGATTAAGGAGATAATTTAAGTTTCATTTTTAGTTAAAATGTATGACTTTTAAACAAAGACGTTTCAGCGTTCCCGCATAATTGTAATGGCATCAAATTTTGTGATCCAATTTTCACAAGTTTCTTACATGAATATTGATGCGATAATTTTTCCTTACTTCTTATCAGATGTTGTGAAGATGGGTTATTATGAAGCAATGACATTCCTTGTGAACATGTATTTGTTACTAGGACGGAAAGATGATAGGGGGTTATCTCCAAAACTTTAAACATAAAAATTACCAGTCACTGATTAAACAGTTGTTTGTCTAATGTACTAAGGCAGTAGTGCAAATGTCTCAAACCTGAAAAAAATATTCACTGTTAACCTATAGAATAACTTATTTACTGTTCATCAGAGACCTGTACGTCTTGTTTAAATCATGAAAAGTTTATTTTAGAATCTAACAGGAAGTTTTCCTGTGTGGCGCTTAAAAAAGTATGCTATGAATCAAAATCTGCAGTTTGGTTTAATCGAATATTACAAGGCAGTTAAGGTGAAAGATATGATGGACCGTTGGGTTCTGATGCAGTGGCTCAATGGTAACGCGCTGGCAACAGAACCTGAAGGTCGAGGGTTCGATCCCTGGCGGGGTCGTGGGTGGACGCTGCTGATGAGTCCCATGCTAAGACGAAACAGCTGTCCAGTGCTCCCAGGTTTCCTTTGTTCCTCCATCTGATGTCAGTCTACGATAAATAACAACTTGAATTATTTTATACACTAAAAACCACTTTGTGATGAGAGATGCTTTTTCTTACCTATGTTTTTATTTCGCTTGCCTCTAAGGAAAAATTTCAAGTTGAATACGCTTTAGAACATTCATGCAATAAGGACAAGACTAGTCTATCTTTATCTTCTATAATTCTATCAGAAATATAAATATCTCTAGTCTAAAGTGACACTACAAGAGAAGATTTATGGGAGAATTCATTAAGGCTATAAACTATGATGCAGACGCAAAATTACACTACCTAATAACGAATAACATTTATCGAAATGAACAAGGTTAATTTTGATGTTCGTCATTGAAACGCCTGACACACAAAAGCGTTAGGTTATTTTAGTTTTGTTTCTTGCCACACTTAGAAATCGGCAAACTGAAGAACTTTGTCGGGACTGTAGAAATGCCGATTACTGCTTAAAAGTGGCTTTCAGCTATGTTTTTTAAAGTAACCAGAAAATGATGTTTAATTTCTGGAAAAGAAAGGTAAGGGAATTGATCCATAAGCCTTTGGTTTGTGTATGTGAAAGTTATGCGCTAAAACTCAAGAGAAACACTTAAGCAGTTCAGTAACCTGATAAATGCTAACAGTTAGTTCTGCACGCAGTGTGACCGTCTACGATAGTAACTGTAAGCGTTTACACAAACATATGAAGCAGGATTTAAACTGGGTTCACCTTGCCAGAATGTCAATAGCCCATCTGCTTGTTTGATTTAGGAAGAAAGACATATTGTCAGCTTCTGCGAAAGTGAAAATACCATCTTTAATCCAAAGAAAGTGTTCAAGTTTGATTTGTCATAAAAAGTGCCTTAGGAAGTAAATAAATGATGTCCTCCGAATTCATTACAAGGACCTTTTACTTCGAAAATAATCCACTTTAAGATATTGACGAAAACAATCTCTACAGAAAAGTACGCAAGTTTTCTTGATCTCTACTGAAAGACTGGCTGAAATATAGACAAAGCCAATGGATATTACAAACGCTTAACAAGCCAGTTTTCTTTAGCTGGCTACCAATTTGTATTAAGCTGAAAGATTAGTTCTCGCATCTGGTCAGTTTTATCTGTGAATATCACTTCAATTGCTCTTATCATTCCACGTATTCCGTCCAGAAGGATTCAAGAATACCATTGTAAATAGTTTCAAGGAAGTCCTTACGGTTTCATAAGAAGTGTAAGTGAACACTGGCCATGTAATCTTGACAACTTCCGGCTTCAATAAGACGGAAAAAAACCCGCTAACACATCTGTGTTCGTCTCTTTTACTTTACCGAAGCTCAAGCAATCCACAGCCTTGCATACAGAAGAATTTCTTTCTCACTCTTTCTATTCCAGGGTATTAATAATTATTGTTTAGAAACAACCTCCATTTCTCCTTCACTCTTTCTATTCACTTCCTATGTAATAAGGACTCTTACCTGTTCTAATGCTTTTGTGATAACAACTGTCTCTTCAGGTTGACCCTCTTCCAACCCTACGCATGCTAAGAACCGCTAGTTAGGCCTACATATTGGGAACTTTAATGGTTAGATTTATCCATCTGAACACAACTTATGTATAAAGACTTCAAATAAGTTTTTCTAAATACGAATGTTTGGGGCTCTTAGTATTAATGCTTCGTTAACTTTCATTGAAAATTGGTATGTTTTAGAAGTGGACTTTGAAAATTAGAAACAGAGGTATAGAAACATTTTAGAATCCTATTATTCGCAGTGTCGGTTATTGAATATCACATATTCTTTTGCACCTTCTTGGTGACATTTTATTTCCACTGGATATCACTTACTAAAACGTACTGAAATTTCTTGTCTTAAACTGATAATTTTTAATATTGCAAGCCATATAGTGTGGAAACATTTTGCGAAATATGCTCACTGTGAATGTAAGTGTTTACGAACTACATACTTTGTTATAGTTAAGTGGTAAAATTTGGGTTATGCATGGCAGAAGGAACTGTTTTAGTTAACTTTCTTCATGGTTCATTCATTTATTGCAATGGAACATTTTGTTTTTATGACTTTGCAAGAAATGGTGAGGAATCATGCTCCTGTCCAACGCAAGCAAAATAATATGCCGCATCATCATGGAGAGACTAAAAAATAAGCCGGATTAAAAATTACAACCCGAACAGGCTGGGATCAAGAAGAACAAATCATGTGCGAATCGAATTGGAACGCCACGCTACACACCATCATAGAACAAAGCATAGAATGCCAGTCAAGGTCATTCACTCCAAGGACGTCATCGACTTTGAATAGGCCTCCGACAGTGTCGATCGAGAAGTAATCTGGCAGGCAACTGTTTCAACACTCCGGTTTTGGTGCCACAAACCTTTATCAACCCCACTCAACAATTATCTGAAGACGCCACATGTCAAGTGATCCACAATCGAAAGCTCAGTGATGCTCATGAAATGAAGACGGAAGTAAGATAAGACTGCCGCCTACTATCACCGATCATCTTCCTGATTGTGATCAACCCGACTGGATTACGCAGCAAACAGTGAGGAGTGATAAGATGGGCATGCTCTGGCTGGACCGATGAAAAGACGATGTAGTTGATTTCGATTTCACCGCCGATGATGATTGATGTGTAATTTCTTGTCGCACAAATTCGAAGATCTACAGGCGGAAAGTAATAAGTTGATAGAAGAGGCAGGGTAGGGCAGTGTAGGCAGCGAAGACAGGAGTTCAAGTGAATGTAGAGAAAACATAGATGATGAAGATAATCAACCAACAACTCCAATAACAACAACAAACACCAATCACCATCAACGCAGGAACCTAAAGGAGGAAGTCCTTTTCACCTACACACGCAGTGCAGCATCGTTTCAACTACAGGTGGCGACACACACGAGGACATCAAAGCAGTCAGAATCGGAAAGACAGCAAGAAGACATGCATTTCATTAACCTGAAA